TAATCCATTAAGTTATTTAAAGTGAGTAACGTAATCTGAATATTTTGGATTACTTGGTTTGCTGTAGAGAAACAAAGACGAGGAAATCTTCACATAAGACATTTTGTTTGTTAAAAGAAAATAAAAAGACTTTACTGAACCAAATTAAAAATATTATTGATAGAAGACGAGGAAGCACGGTCCATCAGCATGATTTAGTCCTGTTAAACCCGGTTTTAGACCTGGTTTAGTCCTTTTTTAGTCCTGATTTAGACCTGGGTTTAGACCTGGTTTAGACCTGGTTTAGACCTGGTTTAGACCTGGTTTAGTCCTGCTTTAGTCCTGGTTTAGACCTAGTTTAGACCTGGTTTTAGACCTGGTTTAGACCTGGTTTAGACCTGGTTTTTAGACCTGGTTTTAGACCTGGTTTTAGACCTGGTTTAGATCTAGTTTAGTCCTGGTTTTAGACCTGGTTTTAGACCTGGTTTTAGTCCTGGTTTAGTCCTGGTTTAGTCCTGGTTTAGTCTGGTTTAGTCCTGGTTTAGACCTAGTTTAGACCTGGTTTAGATCTAGTTTAGTCCTGGTTTAGTCCCTGGTTTAGTCTGGTTTAGACCTGGTTTAGACCTAGTTTAGACCTGGTTTAGACCTAGTTTAGACCTGTTTTAGACCTGGTTTAGACCTGGTTTTAGATCTAGTTTAGTCCTGGTTTTAGATCTGGTTTTAGACCTGGTTTAGACCTGGTTTAGACCTAGTTTAGTCCTGGTTTAGACCTGGTTTAGACCTGGTTTTAGACCTGGTTTTAGACCTGGTTTAGACCTGGTTTTAGACCTGGTTTAGACCTGGTTTAGACCTGGTTTAGACCTTTTAGACCTGGTTTTAGACCTGGTTTTAGACCTGGTTTAGATTTGGTTTAGACCTAGTTTAGTCCTGGTTTAGATCTGGTTTTAGACCTGGTTTTAGACCTGGTTTTAGACCTGCTTTAATCTTGGTTTAGACCTGCTGTAGACCCGCTTTAGACCTGGTTTAGTGCCCGGCAATAAGTGGAATTACCGGAGGGAAAAAAAAAAAAAAAAAGGGGATATAGCCTAAAATGTGAAAACAGGAAAATACCGGCGTGTAATCCATTTATTTCAACAAAGTAACTGTAATCCAGTTACCACTCACTGAAACAGTAACTGTAACTGAATACAGTTACTCATAATATGTACTCTGATTACGTAACTCCGGTACATGTACTCTGTTACTCCCCAACACTGGTTATAATGTTGTTTCCTCATCACAAACGAACCTGGAGTTTTGTTTCATTCACACATGTTTAACTCACAAACCCTGCAGATTTAGGCTGCGTTACATAAAAAAGGGGTGTCCAAATATATCAAAATATCAATATTTTGTATCCTTTAATGTGATGATACAGCATCAATATCGTGAGCTGCTGTATCGATATATCGCCAAGAGTATTTTTTGGTTTATTTTACTCAATTATTTTGTTACAGTGCTACAGTTTTGTTGCTTGTTCAGAGGAAGGAAACTCATTTATGCAACACATTTTGACATTTTTACTGTTTTGATGATTCAAATGTTTGTGTTTTTATATTAACTTTGCACAAAAAGTGATTAAACAAAGACTTTTATTATTTATTTTTTATTGTACCATATCGAATCGATTTGAAATATATCATATCGAATCAAAACTGCACCGTATCGTGGCCTATGTATCCAGGTTTGTATGAAATCGGCAACTTCTTAATGATACCCAGCCCTACTTTTTTACACCTTGTGATGTCATGCGGTAATACGGGAAGTGCTCCACTGCATTTTTAAACTCCACACACCTTCGCTAGAATCATTTGGATCATTTCAGCCCCGGAATTGCCGATCTCTACTGAACTAAATGTAAAATGTAGAGCTGCTAATTTGAAAACCGCTGCTTCATGGCAAAAAATAAATAAATTAATAAAATACATCATAAGGTGGAAATGAACATTATGAGCTTTGGAGATGTAGAGAATCTAATAATGCAAGATTACTCAGACGTGTGGATGAAACAAAACACAATTCCAGGTCTGTTTTTGAGGAGGCAACAGCTTTATAACATGGCTTAAAGCTCACAAGAATAATATAACGTCATGTAGGACCTTTAATATGAATCAGAGAATCCAGAGTCACCTGCAGCAGCATAAGGAGGCCAGTGCATGTTGTGAGGGGGATTTCTGTCTTTTATAGGTTGTTAATTGTAATGTTGATCTCGTCTTCTTCTTCTTAACGACATTTGGAGTACATGAAGTGTGAACGGCTACCCAGGTCTACCCTGCAATTACCTGAATCCCGAGGTCTCCTGAGGACTACAACTGGACTCGTTAGACTAAAAAGGTATAGATTCGGTTTCAAGAATTGTCGGTTCAGCATGTTTTCGTTTTGTCCGATTTAGTTTCTTTCATAAGTTATCTTTTTAATACCACTATTGAGTCCGCTTTCTGCTTTAGTGTTGCCTTGCGCATTTTACTACAGCAACAGTGCCATCATGTGGTGATTTTAAGAAGTGCTACGGGTAAAAAGCACGCCTCAGGGAATCTCGGCAGGAACTGGTTTCAGGTTGAGAAATACAAAACTAGATTAAGTCTTTCAATCCATGTGTGACAAAACATGACTTTGATGTTGTTGCTTTGTTTTTGTTTTTTTTGTTTTTTTTACAAACCAACGCCTATGCAGGATAATAGGCCTGGTGAACTCCATCAATTATTGTTTCATCTTCAAGGCATGAAAGCGATTATTATGATGTGATGTGGTTGTGGTTATGGCCTGGAGCCCGTTGGGTGTGATGTGTGTGTGTGAGAAGTGAGGATGAGATGGTTTTGTTATGAAAAGCCACTGATTTCATTCTATTTTAGGACTGATAATATGAAGATGCCACTCCTGTATTTACAATGAGCTCATGTCCTTTACTCTGCTGCACTGTCCTTTTGAGATATAAACCTCCTGTCCCCACGCAGAGACATCGTTCTGGACCTCTTGTTTTGACTGGCCAGAACTCAGAGAACACACAAATTACGGTTAAAACATCGTAATTCAGTTTAGTTGATCAAGTTTCTACAAAATACTCATCTAAAATTGTGACAAAAAGTAACTGGGAACTTTTAGTAGTCTTTTCCGTGTGAATTACTTTTACTCAAAGCTCCTATATTAAGCAAAGTTGACTCTTCTGAGTTTTAAGCCACGTTATAATGTTGTTACCAAAGATGTAACAATAACCGAAATATCGTGATATCGTATCGTCAAAGTTCTCACAAAAATACGTGGACCATCACAATATATCGAATCAGACTACAGTTAGAAATAACAGTTCTAAGCACTTTTAAGTCTTAGTTCTTTGGATTAAGTCTTGTCAAGGCATTTTAAGAGGAAAAAGTCACATTCACAGTTTTGTTTGCCTCCACAAAATATTGCAATAAATATCGTAGAGTGAGATATATATCGTGAAAATATCATACTGAGAGATTTGGATATTGTTACATCCCTAATCGTGAGCAATCCGTGTATCATTCGTTCATTCGTTTTTCAATATAAAATCAAAAATAAGAAAACAAAAAAACAACTGTTTTCTTCATTATTTGTCTCCAAAACCAAAATGAAAAAACAGATAACGATTCGTTTGGTCTCGTCTGGTCACCCTGCCTAAAAGTACAATTTTCAGTATAATTTCCATATCATACCATACTTTTACTATTCATTTGTAGTACTCTTTTCACAACTGTACAATGTAAACCTGCGTGTGCCTTACTAATTTTTATATATATAGGGTGACCAAAATTTCAAAATAGAAAACTGGGACATCCCCACTTTTTGGTGACTGGTAATAATAAAATTGTGAAACGAGTGGGTATTAAATTGTTATGCAAAGACCATTCATAACTAACATGTACTGTAAGTCAGTATAGTCACAGTTTCTTTGTGTTTTGGTCATTTTGAAGCAGGTTTTCTTAATTTTACCTAAACGAATGGCACTTTATGCCTCTCTTTACTGTTGCCAGGGTTTAAACTGGTTAAAAATAGGGACATGTGGGATATTTTTTGTATAAAACTGAAACAAATCACTGTTTCTGGATAAATCTGCTGGGACAGGGGACACGGGGCTCAAAACTGGACTGCCCAGGGCAAATAGGGACGTCAGGTCACCCTGCATATAAGTACAATTTTCAGTATGTTTTCAGCCATGTCATTGTACTTTTAGTATTCATTTGTAGTACTCTTTCAATCACTGTGCAATGTAAAGCAGCGGATTCCTTCCCAGTTATATATATATATATATATATATATATATATATATATATATATATCACAGGGTGACCAGAATTTCAAAATAAAAAACTGAGACATCCCCGTTTTTTGGTGATTTGTAATACTTAGGGATGTAACGATATCCAAATCTCACAGTATGATATTTATTGTGATATTTTGGAGAGGTTAATATAATTGTAGATTAGGCACTTTTTTGCTTTTAAAAATACCTTGACAAGATTTTGGAGTGAATTATTTCTGTCATTATCCCAAGAATTCAAGTAAAAACATATTTAAATATATAATATAAAAACTGGGACATCCCCACTTTTTGGTGACTCGTAATAATAAAATTGTGAAACGAGTCAGTATTAAATTGTTATGCAGAGACAATTCATGACTAACATGTACTGTAAGTCAGTATAGTCACATTTTCTTTGTGTTTTGGTCATTTTTAAGCAGGTTTTCTGTATTTTACCAAAACAGGTGACAATTTCTGCATCTCTTCACTGTTTACAGGGATCAAACTGGTCAAAAATAGGAACATCTGGGACATTTCTGGTATAAAACTGGGACAAATCAGTGGTTTTGGATAAATCTGCTGGGACAGGGGACACAGAGCTCAAAACTGGGACTGTCCCGGGTAAACAGGAACGTCTGATCTCCCTACATATTTAGACAAATAAAAGAAGTACACCGTGTTCCTTGTGCACGCTCTTTGTTGCGTGTCTTACGTGCTTTACCTGCCACTCTCTCATGAAGCTCGTGACCTCCTCGGGGCTCGCGCGCGTGTGCCGCCTGAACTCGTCTTTTACGTACTGGTCCCCGAGCGCGCGCAGGTGGATCGGCAGGAACTTGTGCAGCACGAGGATCCTCTTGTACAGAGCGCGCACCCGGGACACGTGCGCAGAGGCCGCCATCAAACGCGCGGTCGAGGATAAAAAAATGTAAAAGTAAAAAGCTGCAGAAGTTGTAAGGAGAAGGTAAATAAGCGCCACAAGGAGGGTTACTCAACACATGCCCTTGTTTACTCCGGATGTGGCTCTTCTTCTACCGCGGGAGCAAACCTTGTGTGATGGCGACATCTGTTGGAGTTGGGTGGAATTCAACCAAACGCTGAAGTCCAGTTTAGTTTTTATATGAAATGACCAGTAGTGGGTAAAAAAAAGTGTTGTGGAGTAACAGATTACATGTACTGGAGTTACGTAATCAGAGTACAAATTATGATCTGTTTCCATGAGTGGTAAATGGATTACAGTTACTTTATTGAAATAAATGGATTACATGGTGGTATTTTCCTGTTTTCACATTTTGGGCTAAACCAGGTCTAAACCAGGACTAAACCAAGTCTAAAGCAGGTCTAAACCAGGTCTAAACCAGGTCTAAACAGGTCTAAACCAGGTCTAAACCAGGACTAAACCAAGTCTAAACCAGGACTAAACCAGGTCTAAACCAGGACTAAACCAGGACTAAAGCAGGTCTAAACCAGGTCTAAAGCAGGTCTAAACCAGGTCTAAAGCAGGTCTAAACCAAGTCTAAAGCAGGTCTAAACCAGGACTAAACCAGGTCTAAAACAGGTCTAAAACAGGACTAAAACAGGTCTAAACCAGGTCTAAACAAGGACTAAACCAAGTCTAAACCAGGACTAAACCAAGTCTAAAGCAGGACTAAACCAGGTCTAAACCAGGACTAAACCAAGTCTAAACCAGGTCTAAAGCAGGACTAAACCAGGTCTAAACCAGGACTAAACCAGGTCTAAACCAGGACTAAACCAGGTCTAAACCAGGACTAAACCAAGTCTAAACCAGGACTAAACCAAGTCTAAAGCAGGACTAAACCAGGTCTAAACCAGGACTAAACCAGGTCTAAACCAGGACTAAACCAAGTCTAAACCAAGGCAAGGCAAGTTTATTTGTACAGCACAATTCGTACACAAAGTAATTCAAAGTGCTTTACAGAATAAGAAATACATTAAAATCATAATAAAAACAAATCAAAACATATATAATCATGAAGATTAAAATTAAAAAAGAGAGACATAAATTGGAGAGAAGAGTGCGGAATGAAAACCTTTCAGTTATATGCACAGTTAAACAGAAATGTTTTGAGCCTGGATTTAAACAGCGTCACAGAAGAGTCTGTCTCACATGTTCAGGAAGACTGTTCCAGGTTTTAGCAAGACTAAACCAGGTCTAAACCAGGACTAAACCATGTTGTGCGGACTGTGTCTTCTCCTCTTCTATCAATAATATTTTTAATTTGGTTCAGTAAAGTCTGGGCTTTTTATTTTCTTTTATCAGACAAAACTTCTTATGTGAAGATTTCCTCGTCTTTGCTTCTCTACAGCAAATCAAGTAATCCAAAATATTCAGATTACATTACTCACTTTAAATAATTTAATGGATTACGTTACAAACTACATTTTGGTGTATGTAATCTGTAATCTGTAGAGGAATACATTTTAAAAGTAACCTTCCCAACACTGTGGGTAAAACAGTCAAAATTGTACCCAAGTAAGAATAACGTTTAACAAGGGTGTAACTTTGGCTTTGGGGTTGGGAAGGACATTTTAAATGGGAGGGTGGGGGGGTGGGTCTCTGTCCAGGTGAGTGCTTTGACTTTGTACCCGTATGTAGGCCTGTGTGATCCGTGATCATCTTGTTTTCATGTTTCATATATAAACCAGAGTGTATAAAACATTAGGCTGACCCACATGTGATTGGATGAATCATGTGCCCTTGTTTGTTCATCAGAGTTGCAGAACATGCAGGTCGACTCACACATCACTCACACTGTTTATATTGGCTAAATGGAAGGACAACTAAAAACTAAACACTAAATGTAGTGATTAAAAAAAAGTGGCACTATGGGGGTGTGGTTTACAGTGTTGGGGAGTAACAGATTACATGTACCAAAGTTACGTAATCAGAGTACAAATTATGAGTATCTGTATTCAGTTACAATTACTGTTTCAGTGAGTGGTAATTGGATTACAGTTACTTTGTTGAAATAAATGGATTACACGGCGGTATTTTCCTGTTTTCACATTTTGGGCTATATCCCCCTTTTGTTATTTTATTTTTTTCGGGAATTCCACTCATTGCTGGAAACTAAACCAGGTCTAAACTAGATTTTAACTAGATCTAAACCAGGACAAAACCAGGACTAAAACCAGGTCTAAACTAGATCTAAAAGAGGTCTAAACCCATTTCTAAACCAGGATTAAAACAGGACTAAAACCAGGTCTAAACCAGATCTAAACTAGATCTAAACCAGGTCTAAACCAGGACTAAACCAAGAATAAACTAGATCTAAACTAGAGATAAACTAGGTCTAAACCAGGTCTAAACCAGGTCTAAACCAGGTCTAAACCAGGTCTAAACCAGGACTAAAACCAGGTCTAAACCAGGACTAAACCAGGTCTAAACCAGGACTAAACCAGGAAAACCAGGACTAAAACAGGAAATTTAAAACAGGACTAAAACCAGGTGCCGGAGGACGGACGTGTCTAAACCTCCTAAACTTAAACTATTAATAATATTTTTAATACAGTTAAGTAAAGACTGGACTTTTCATTTTCTTTTAGCAAACAAAACATCTTATGTTACGATTTCCTCGTCTTTGCTTCTCTACAGCAAATCAGGTAATCCAAAGTATTCAGATTACATTACTCACTTTAAGTCATTTAATGGATTATGTTACAAACTACATTTTTGGGGAATGTAATCTGTAATCTGTAGGGGAATCATTTTAAAAGTCACCTTCCCAACACTGGTGGTTTATGCAGTAAAGTAAAACAAACTCTTTGTCCAGATCCAGAGCTGCTTTTTCCAAGACTGATTCCAGGTTTAACAGTCAAACAATAAGAACACATGTTGAGGCCGACACCTCCTGCCGACTGATAAAAACCACTGACCCACGCAGGTGCACCACCCTCTTTTATCCCCTCAGTATCCTCAGCCCATATTACATGATCATTATATCCACAATCAGTGTTGGGGAGTAACAGATTACATGTACCGGAATTACGTAATCAGAGTACAAATTATGAGTAACTGTATTCAGTTACAGTTACTGTTTCAGTGAGTGGGAATTAGATTACAGTTACTGTGTTGAAATAAATGGATTACATGGAGATATTTTCCTTTTTTTCACATTTTGGGCTAAACCAGGACTAAACTAAGACTAAAACCAGGACTAAACTAGGACTAAAACCAGGACTAAACCTAGGACTAAATCAGGTCTAAATCAGGTCTAAACCAGGACTAAAAGCAGGACTAAACCAGGACTAAAACCAGGACCAAAACCAGGACTAAACCAGGACTAGGACTAAATCAGGTCTACACCAGGTCTAAACCAGGTCTAAACCAGGACTAAACCAGGACTAAATCAGGTCTAAAAGCAGGACTAAACAGGGCTAAAACCAGGTCTAAACCAGGTCTAAACCAGGACTAAACCAGGTCTAAACCAGGACTAAACTAGGACTAAAACCAGGACTAAAACCAGGACTAAAACCAGGACTAAACCAGGACTAAACCAGGACCTAAACCAGGTCTAAACCAGGTCTAAAAGCAGGACTAAACAGGGCTAAACTAGGAGTAAAACCAGGTCTAAACAATATGACACATTAACAGTAGGTGGACATAATTTACGGCAGCAGTCTCATATAGAAATCATTTCTCTATCAATAATATTTTAATATGCTTAAGGAAAGACTGGACTTTTTATTTTCTTTTATCACATAAGACATTTCATGTTACGATTTCTAGTCTTTGCTTCTCTGCAGCAAACAAAAACCTCTTCATGGAGACTTGGGCTCAACAGACAATTTGAAGACAATAAACAGGAATTTTCAGGATGTGGTTGTTACATTCATGTAGTTTTAAAAAGCACGACAATATCAAGTAATCCAAAGTATTCAGATTACGTTACTCACTTTAAGTAATTTAATGGATTCCATTACAAACTTCATTTTGGGATATGTAATCTGTAATCTGTAGGGGATTACATTTTAAAAGTCACCTTCCCAACACTGTCCACAATGTAATGTGTGTATCTGTGTTGGTCACACATGAGAATGTTTGTGTTTACGAGCGTGTAACGAAAATGTCATTTTTCATGAGTTCCGTGTATGTTAGTTCTGTAACTGTAGATCAGTGTGTTGTGTATCACCAGAAAAAGAAGAAATGGAAATTATTTTTGTTCCTTCATACACTGAAAGAGAAAGGAACTGTTATAATTAGTGATTATCTCAAAAACTATTAATATTTTACTATACAAATGCATAGAATTATAAATAGATAATAATTTTTCTGAGATTCTGAGTCCACTCCCGTTGCTCGAGCTCGATCCTTCGCGGAGTTATTTGTTGACCTTGGTTACCTTGACCTTTAAGTGACCTTAACCGGTTTCAACCTGTAACATCCAGTGTGCCCCGGTTATGTGTGTGCCAACTTGTGTGATGATTGGGTGAATATTTTAGCTCGCAGATGGTTCAGAAATTGCAGAAATTGCCTTCATAAAGGATTTTATGATGTCGCGACCTTTGGACAAACAGGGTGAATACAAAACCCAGTCAAAATGTTTTAACCTGAGTTTACTGTACTAGCACATAATTGCATCATAGTGGGCTTTTTTTTTGTTTTTGTTCTTTTATTCTAGGCACTTCCTTTTAAATTACCAGCCACTTGTCATAGGAATAGTGCTAACATCTCTTTTCCTAGAGCCACAAATAGTAACAGTAGAATGCAAGTCACACTAAATACCATTTCTCTGTCTGTTCATTGACGTCTGAATGACAAACTGATGAGTCATAAAGGTGCACTGTGTAACGTTTATGGTGGAGTGCCCATCCCCTGCTTGTTTCCGTGGAGCTATCACTGCTCTGCTTGGAATGTCCCACAGTGTGACATTAAACAGCTCAACTTTACATTTATTTAATTACAGGTGGTTTTATCGCTCAAAAATACCTGAAAAACAAAGTAACAAAGTAAAAGTCCTGTGCTTAAGTATAGCTCTTTGGTATTTTAGGTACTAGATACTT